TGGATCAGCCGTGGTAAGAGCAAATGAAATCGCTGTTTGCATGGAATGCATTTAACGAACATTTATTATCAGCACTTTACACTGTATTTACTTCATTTTAATAAAATTTCATGTGATTTACCCGAACGCGGATGCAGACGGGCCCGACAGCCAGCCAATGCGGAGAGTGAATTCGAGCAAAAAGTGCATTCAACAATGTTGTAAATGACCGACCTGGCCAACCGTGCAACAGAATGCGCGTATGGAGTAGCGAGCCTAAAGCGGTACTGGTGCGTGTGTGTGTGAGTGTAGAGGGGGGGATGGGGTCCTTCGAAATGCACAATTGCTCATTCGTATGGAAATTATTTACTTACAGTCGTGTTGCATGTTGATTTACAGTGTATCCGACACTTGCACACAAACAGTAAGGCTACAAATTTATGCTGGATTTTTATTTACATACATACTCCTATATTAACAATGCAGCTGTGCGGGTGTGCGTGCATGCGGTTTATGGCAGTTTATTAATATCCTTTCCGAACACAAATAAACACATATACGTACATATATACAAAAATTTATATTCAGGTGCACTCAAGTGTACACTGTTGTGCTCGCTTGCATTTTGCTGTGCGCTCGTTTTTTTTTCAAATATTTGTTTGAAATAATCAGCCATTGTCACATGTCATGTGTTGTTGTTGTCCGCCTTGTTTATTTTTGTAACTTTTCTGCATCATACTTTTTCCTATTTGTATAATTTTTGTAAATTTAATTTCGTAATTGTTTGCTTGTTTGTTAATAATTTTTTCGCTTAACTTTTTAGCGTTGTTGGAATTTTTTCTCGTCATTCTAGTAAGTAAATGAGTCACATATTTGTAGGCGTATATACCGACGTTGACTTGTGTGTGCGTGCGCGTGCGTGCGTTTGTTTGTTCGTTTTTGCATGACCACGAGTGTTTAATAATTTCCACTCAACTAAGCATAAAAAATGTGTTGTTTGCAAATGAAGTAAAACGAAATGAGGATTTCACTTGGAATTCGCCCGACAATGATTAAACGCAGAGGAAAGAAGAAACAGTCACATAAAAAAATATTCTACTATATAGTAGGCTTTGTGAAGTATGTTTTAATTTTGGAAGAAAATTCAGTTGACTTCGCAAGGAAGTAGAATATTTGCAACTTTTAAGCCCAAAATACAATAACGCAGTGGCAGTGGCAGCGGCAGTTTTTCGAAATCAGCTGTTTTTTAGAAAGTGTGATGTCCAATGAAGCGACTAACAATACAGTAGTGGCAGCTAGCAGTACTACTGCTCAGTTTAGCCCAAATTCTAAATTCACTGCCACTGCCTACATCGCAGCAAACTTCGCATGCTGAATTTGACATAAATTAAACGCAGCCAACATCTGTTGATGTGAACGAAGCCTAAAAGGCAACAACAAAAATGTAAACAAACAAAAGGGAATGTCAAAAAAAGCAGTCACTGACAACGCCGTATTGTGTTTGCTACGGCAGTGACTGCCAATATTAGCAGTAACAGCTGATTTTAAAAACTGTCACTATATAGGTGTCTATTATAGGTGTCAATCCACGTCCAATCAATCAACGGTTGCAATAGACCATTTTTAATTTTGACGAACTTTGGCCAGAAATTTTCTTTTATCAAATAACGAAGTTCTGCCAACGAATAAAATTCAAAATTTCACAATTTGTAAGTTTATTTATTGAAAACAAAAAAAGTTTTTTTTTTTAATAGCGGTCACACCTCGGCGGGCAATGGCGTAACCTCCGAGTGTATTTCTGAATTTCGAAATTTAAATAGTCGTAAAAGCAAAAACTTGTAAAAATTGTTGACTAAATTTTTTTATACAACATAGAGGTAGATTGCTCCCAAAAGATCCTGAATTTTTTAAGATTTTTTTGTTTCTAAATATATGAGCTTTTGAACTTAGAAAGATTTATTTAGAGTTTTCAAAAAAAAAATTTCAAACACAAAAGTTAATATCTTACAAAAAACTCTATAAATTTCCAGGATGTTTTAAAATCAATTGAAGGTATTCTATAAAAAATCTCCAATTTATTTTATTTTTCGAATTTAGAAAAATAGATTTTTATCGCGCGTTATATGGAAGAAAAAGCGCAACACCCTCCACAAAAAAACATCTAAAATATCAACGGTTATTTCTAGCGACTTGAAACTTGCACTTTGTTTTACTAAAATTGAAGGGGTTACAAAACTGCATACACGCAAAATTTCTAGAAATTCTGAATAAAAATTTTGAAATTTTTATGAAAATGGTTTCAATTTTTGTGAACTTTACATAAAGTGTGAAACTTGATTTATGTTAAAGAATGAACTATATTTTCATAAATAATTAATGAAAAAAATTTTTCATGAACATAATTGTAAATATTATATTAGAACAAGGTGTACATTTAGATTTGATACTGACTGTATACATATATCTGAGGTATTTAGCAGATTTCTAAATACTAAACGTTTTAAGAAAAAAAAACAAGAGTTTTGTTTTAGTTTAGAGATTGACAATAGAATGTAATACAGTTTATTTTGCTTAGCTGCACATCCTTCTTTGCACGAAAAACTTGTGCACGTAACCGAAAAAGGCACTTAAGCGAATTTTCTTTACTACTTCAGTGAGGAAGGTATCCGAATCCCTATGAAACCAAATATTGGTGGAGCACTTACCATGTAGAAATTACTGCAAGCGAAATTTTTACCGAATGTTATCTAATTATCTATATAACTACATAAATTGATAGCCATTTTCGTTGTTCTGCGAGATGAGCAAAATAAATAAAAGGTTGTAAAATTAGGTAATTGTAGGGCCAGTGCAGGTAAACGTAATACTTTCATTGATAATTGATACTAGTCGCACTATTTTTAAGGCAGGTATCGCCAATGTGCAGGTATGTTGAATGCATCTATCGGAG